TATTTTTATATTCTACTAAAATGCAACAAAAAAAGATAGTTTGATTCTATTAATTTTGTCTTTTTTATTGCACTTTGGCAGCAGATTCCTGTGTAGCTTCAGATCTGAGTTGTTTTATTAGTAAGCCTAATTTATACTTTTGTAGCAACACTATTTTTATATAATGGCAAAGAAAGGGTTCAGAGTCTTTTCTTTGTCCCTGTGTCATATGTGGCAGCACTGTTCAATGTTTCTTGAAAACATTACCCACTGTAGTATGTGACGTGTGAATAAACTCCAACTCTGTATCAACAACACTGTTGTGTAACTTCAGTTAAATACTTTGTATGTGTGTAGATTAGAAAGAGGTAAGATAAAGGATCTGCAGTATTTTATGGAGTATTAATCATACAAAGGTCAGTTTTATACAAGTAGAAGTGTTGTATTTACCTCGGTAGTAGGCTGTCAGTAATGGCTAAGCCTCTCTATTTGGACTGGTAGATCTCGGCAGACTGGCAACTTTAAAAAGTAGCTCTCGGTTCAAAAAAGGTTGGGCACCCCTGGTGTAAATAGTACAGGTTTTATTGAAACTGGAACCTTAATTCAAAGTACAGTATACAAATCATCAAATTATTCTGTGAGAGGTCAAGTATATAGATACTAGAATATAATGTTAAATGTCAGGTTCCTCAGAAACGTTAGGGGACACATGTTGACATTTCTGCACAGCAGGTGCAGAACTCCGTCCAGGGAAGGCCAACAGAGAGGCACTGGCACTTTCCACTCTCTCCACACTTTGCATCTTTGCAATACAAGTGAGTAATGTCTCTCACTTCTGTAGGTGCTGGGGGTTTTGTAAATAGCACTGGTTGAATGGCCCCATCTCTGACCATCCACCCCTTGCCAACAGGACTCCATAACAAGGGTTTGGGTTCGGCTGTGACACCATATCGCTGTCTGAAACATTGCTCTTTACATGTTGTTGAAATGATTTTCCGAGGCTCTATCATGTTGTTGATGCAATTATGAACCTCAGTTCATCCAAGTTGTGCATCAGTCCAATTTCCTTTTTTCCATATAGCAGAAGCGCAAATTCTCATGCGACTGGCAAAGACTCTTCCAAGCTGGCAGAGTCCACAATGGGCCAGATCTTTGAGCTCGCTGAGATGGGTCTTGAGTTTGGTGAATGCTGTTGTGTTACGCCCCTCTCTAGGGGTAGAGAGAAACAACACACACCAGTGTGGAATTGGTAATTATTATACGTATTTATTATAATTTAAATAGTGATGACAAAAATAATAAAGGCGTGCAGCCTGGCACAAACACAGTTCCCAAATGCTGGTTGTTAACAACAAAAGGAGGACTCCAAAAAGGGAGTTTTACAGATTATACAGAGTAATAATTAGTACACAAAAGGGAAACAGAAACCTCACTTTAAACGTGGTACATGTAACTGAAAAGGGCGTACAAAAACACAGCTTACACAATCATACTACAGTACCTAACTAAACACAGAAACACTAGTTCAACACGCTGCTAAACAGTATAGCTTTAACACAGAGAAGTCACTAAATCATCAAACAAACGAGTAAGTACAACAAGAGGCTAGAGGCGTCTGTCCCACTTCACAGAGCCTCCCGAATGATATCAGTCCCACGGCCTTTGTACTCCTCCCCCCGGAAGATGTGCCGGATGTAGGCAGGGATTGGAGGACGTAGATCCAATCACCTCTTCGGATACGAGGGCGGGACAGCCAATGACATCGAGGGAACCTCACAGCTCATTTGCATACACATACAACAGAGTTAATAGCACCAGGAAGCCAGCGGCTGTAACATGTATTTCCTATTCTGTACAAAATACTTGTTGTGCCACAGCCAGTGAGTGCCCCACCACTGTATGGGTTAGCCCTACCATAGATAAGATTACCCCAACAAAATACTCTGGCGCCGCCACTGTGTATTGGAGGCGCTGAAGGAGGATGTTATGGCCGACAGTGTCGAATGCTGCAGTCAGATCCAGGAGGATGAGGAGAGATGGGGAACCAGGTTCAGCCGCCATCAGCAGGTCGTTTGTGACCCTGGACCAGAGCTGTTTCAGTGCTGTGGGCGGAACGGAAACCGGACTGGAATTTCTCAAAGAGGCCCGTTTAGTTGGAGATGGTCCTGAAGCTGGGCGGGGAAACCCACATGTCTAACTGTCTACCAGCATGTCATGCACTCACTGGCTGTGGCACAACAAGTAGTTTGTACAGAATAGGAAAGACAACAGCATTCACCAAACTCAAGACCCATCTCAGCGAGCTCAAAGATCTGGCCCATTTTGGACTCTCTGCCAGCTTGGAAGAGTCTTTGCCAGTCGCAGGAGAATTTGCGCTTCTGCTATATGGAAAAAAGGAAATTGGACTGATGTGCACAAACTTGGATGAACTGAGGTTCATAATTGCATCAACAACAGATGCAGCCTCGGAAAATCTGCCGCCAACAGAAGATGCATTTTCAACAACATGTAAAGAGCAATGTTTCAGACAGCGATATGGTGTCACAGCCCGAACCCAAACCCTTGTTATGGAGTCCTGTTGGCAAGCGGTGGATTGTCAGAGATGGGGCCATTCAACCAGTGCTATTTACAAAACCCCCAGCACCTACAGAAGTGAGAGACATTACTCACTTGTATTGCAAGATGCAAAGTGTGGAGAGAGTGGAAAGTGCCAGTGCCTCTCTGTTGGCCTTCCCTGGACGGAGTTCTGCACCTGCTGTGCAGAATGTCAACATGTGTCCCCCTAACGTTTCTGAGGAACCTGACATTTAACATTATATTCTAGTATCTATATACTATATATTCTGACTAGTTGGTGATGTAGTTCAGCCACCTGGTATTTCCCTCTCCAAATATAATGACCATCAGAGTGAGCATTCCTTAATTTATAGGCTATTGTGCCACTTCTCCCCCATTCGGAGTTTGACTGTATCAGAGAAGAGGTAGGCCTATGTCTAAAGACATCTCATTTGCAATAGAACTGTACCAGATATGTCCATACAACTACTGGTTAGTGTTCAATAGCACCTACTGGTTAGTGTTCAATAGCACCTACTGGTTAGTGTTCAATAGCACCCTAGACAATTCAGTAATGGTATATATTTTAGGGATTTCTGTTTTTCTGATAAATGAGAGAAAAGTGATTGAGTCCTATGTTCCTATCACCAAAAAGTACAATTTCCGTCTAAACTAAAGCTAAGTCTACAGGATTATAATTCAGTATTATTTTAGTTAAATAATAGTCTGACTATTTGGTGATGTAGGACAGCCACCTGGTTCATACCTCAGCAAATCTGAAGAGGAAAAGAGGTGGCTTTCTTGTCACCTTTCCCCACATTCGGCCTGGTCTAATTTGGCTCTTTTTCAGGGATTGGGGTAGTTCTGAAGAACAACCCAAAAAACATTTTTTCCCCCAAAATAAAATTTGACAACAATCAATTGCATTAATGGGAGACCCTAAAGATAAGAAAAATCATTGTTGTCATTTGTTCTACCTCGGGTAGGGTATCTCAAAATCTAAAGCCTTTTTTGAGGACTTGCTGCTGGACTATATTAGAAAGTGGTGTTAATATGTGGAGATTACCCTTCTGCACAAAAAGTGTACGTACCATAAACCTGTGTTTCTCACAGATCCAATGGTAAAGTCCTATTACTTTTTTCGAGGGAGCCGTTGCGATGCTAACTTCTGCGATTGCCTACAAAAACAATCATCACTGCAACACTCTATTATTGAGTAGTGAATAAACCTGTGTGTTTAATCTGAGGAATCTTCAGCCTGCTTTCACTCCCAGGGCCTCAAATACTAAAGCCTGTCACAAAGAAGCTTACAGCACCTAAACATGAAGTGTGTGGTGTCAGTCCTGATTATCACAGATCTGCTCTGCTTCACGGGTTAGGTTCGGGTTTCAATATATATACATTTTATTTGTGAGGCAGTGATGTTTACAAAAGTTGTCATGTTTATAATTTAGAAAATACAGTGGAGTGTGCTTCCTTATATGAGTTTCAATGTTATTATGTTTTTAGACCAGGGGGTGTCCAAACTACGGCCCGGAGGCCAAATGTTTAAATACATTCAGTCAATTCAAGTTGACATTTTTTTCTAACAAATCTCAGTTGATAAAAAAAAAGGCCAGCATCTTATTTGCATATTGCAATCTGGGGTTCTGTTACTGAGGAAACGAGCTTCGAACACACTAAAGTAAACCCTATGGAGAGCTGTGATGTAGGCAGGTTTTTATCATATATTCAATTATCAAGAATAATGGACCTACGTTTGATTGATTTTGCTAACTTATAACTTAATTTTATGAGGCAATATACCTCACCTCGAGTGAGGGGGCCCAGCCTTCGTATGTTTTTCTGTATGTGACCCTCAGTGAAAACAGTTTGGACACCCCTGTTTTAGACTACAGCATGTACTGTAAACACTTTAGAAGTGTACATCAAAGCTATCCAGAAAACATTTTACAGATTCAATTATTGTAGGGATAATCCATCAATAAAAACCAATGAATCAGCCAAATACATCAAAATGAATCTATTGTAAGTCTTTGGGTAACATTATTGGTTAAACGTTACATTTTCAAATGAACCAAATAATCTTAGAGTCTGTTTTCAGAGTCAGGCCACTGCACATCATGTGTGTTCAGAGAGTCAGGCCACACTGCACATCATGTGTGTTCAGAGAGTCAGGCCACTGCACATCATGTGTGTTCAGAGAGTCAGGCCACTGCCACATCATGTGTGTTCCTCTCTCCTAACACAAAACTGCTCTAATGGACTAAACAGCTGCAGGACACACACACACTGCTGTTGCATGAATACACTTGAATTCTTCCTTTTGTGTACGTGATGGGAACAAAAAACCTGGGTCACAGAAACATGTCTCTGTTTTCTGTCACTATATTCTGGTATTATTTTTTGATCATGCAGAAATGTTACTTTCTAATATGACTGTCTGTTTTCTTCTCTCTTTCTAGGTGGTGTTTGTGGTTCAGTATTTTAAAAAGAGACGTGTGGTTTCTCACAGCCTCTCAGATTCAGGCACAGCTGACACTGATGAAGCCCTCAGGCTCAGACCAATCACTGCATGGACGTCAGTGACAAATACACAGTTCCTCAGGTAGCTAACATGATACATATCAAAAGCTAAATGTCTGTACTGAATGTTTTCCAGGCTTTAAACCAGGGGGGAACCTTTTTCCTCTCGAGGGCCCATTTCAATTTTTTCAACATCCTCCGAGGCAAATTATTGACCTATGCTTAAAAATACTAAAATCACAAGCCCATTCATTTGGCCTTCCTTCATGCTGCTGGCAAAGAAAGAGCAACCTCTGAATCCAGATATCTTGCCATGACTCGCGCATGCATGCACGTGCACGGTGTGGCATGACCACCCAAACAGAAAGATATGTACACAAGATGTGTGCAAATGTATTTAGTTTCCTATCCATGTGAACATGATTTCAGTGGGGGGGGGACCTAACCTCCTCTAGGGGGGTCCGGGGGCATGCTCCCCTGGGAAGATTTTTTTTTAAATATTGAAGTTAAAAGCATCAATCTGGTGCACTTTGAGAGCATCATGAAGAGATCTATGGATACATCTCTCAACATCCATATGAAACAGAACTGTAAGCAGATTTACTTTTTCTTTATGGATATTTTACAAATCACTCTCCTTTCAAACTTTATTCTTGTTTATTAATAACAACTTATTTTTTACCGTCATATCGTATTTTATACGTGTTTACTTTATTCTCTTATGTTTTGATAACTATAATGATCATATAAAGATGTCCCTTTACCTCACTGGTTGTAGAAAAAGCTTCTTATATTCGTTAGCATAGCTAGCTAACCAGATGCTAATAACAACAAAGTTATTGACTGTATGATCAGTATGACAGATGAACAGATCACCACTGGGCTTTCAACTAAAGACACAGCCACGCAAAAACTGCCGCATGTGTACGGCTCCCTTATGAGTACTGCAGTTTGTGAAGGCCGGAGGCTGCGTTCTGGTGCTCTCCGTCAGAACTGCACCCCCTATCAGACGAGACAATACCACTGTGATGACAGGTTTGGCTCGTGTTGTGTCCAGGACCCTGACCTGGCCAGGAAAAATAGGCACTCGGCTTGTTTAATTATTTTGCGGTCGATGATTTCTTTAATTTTTTTCTTTTTTTTTCCTGTGTTTATAAATTACCTCGAGGGCCGTACCAAATGGTTTCTCGCGGGCCCGTACGGCCCGGGGGCCTGAAGTCTCCCCACCCCTGCTTTTAACAGATTAAAAGTTTGTGTATCCTCAGGCTTTATGATTAAAAACTGTTTTTTTATAAACACAAATTATGAATTTAAATGTTTATTTAAATGTGTTTCTTTTGTGCTTCTATAGAGCCCAGGATCCTGCACAGAAGTCACATGACTATGACCCCCCCTCTCTCCTGAACAAGGGGAGATGAAAGTCACCTATTCTACGTCACACTTGGGCCTTAATATCTCTAAGATGCTTATTGCAGAATTTAAACAATCACTTGTTTACCACCTTTATATGAACTTAATATGATTTCCCATTGTGTGCTGCCAAGTTCAGTTGATGATCTGCTTTATTGGTTGCTCGGTTTTAGAAAACAGGAAGAGGGAGCTCCTCTCCCAGAGGGAAATTTGGCAGGCAAGGTAAAAAACTAAATGCAGTTAATCACAAATGTTTTATTGACCTTTTAATTATATAAAGATATCTGATACGTTGGAGCTTTATTTGTAAATGGTCCGTGTAGCGCCTTTATCCTGAGGTAATGAACATACACTTGCAAACAATGTCTAATGCAGGGCCGTCCAAAATGAGGCCCACGGCAAAAGCTAGCCTGATCGATGTTTTTAGCAGTTAATAATGATAATAATACCTTATAATATACACCGTTTTTTGTGTAGGATCCCATATTATGCTTTATTGTTCTCCCAATCCGAAGGGGTTGGCTAATGGTTACACAACCCCCAAAAACATCGTTATGACATCACAAAGTGGCCAAAATCTGATCAGCTCATTTTCAGACAGGTTTTTATAGAAATGGATCAAAAAGAGAGAGAATTTTTGTTCCTGAAACCTTCAGAGTCTCTTTCCACAGAGGGGACACATGTTGATGTAGAAGAGACATGAAGAAGAGGGGACACATGTTGATGTAGAAGAGACATGAAGAAGAGGGGACACATGTTGATGTAGAAGAGACATGAAGAAGAGGGGACACATGTTGATGTAGAAGAGACATGAAGAAGAGGGGACACCTGTTTGATGTAGAAGAGACCATGAAGAAGAGGGGACACATGTTGATGTAAGAAGAGACATGAAGAAGAGGGGACACATGTTGATGTAGAAGAGACATGAAAGAGGGGACACATGTTGATGTAGAAGAGACATGAAGAAGAGGGGACACATGTTGATGTAGAGAGACATGAAGAAGAGGGACACCTGTTGATGTAGAAGAGACATGAGAAGAGGGGACACATGTTGATGTAGAAGAGACATGAGAAGAGGGGACACATGTTGATGTAGAAGAGACATGAAGAAGAGGGGACACATGTTGATGTAGAAGAGACATGAAGAAGAGGGGACACATGTTGATGTAGAAGAGACATGAAGAAGAGGGGACACATGTTGATGTAGAAGAGACATGAAGAAGAGGGGACACATGTTGATGTAGAAGAGACATGAAGAAGAGGGGACACATGTTGATGTAGAAGAGACATGAGAAGAGGGGACACATGTTGATGTAGAAGAGACATGAAGAAGAGGGGACACATGTTGATGTAGAAGAGACATGAAGAAGAGGGGACACATGTTGATGTAGAAGAGACATGGAGAAGAGGGGACACATGTTGATGTAGAAAACATGGAGAAGAGGGGACACATGTTGATGTAAAGAGACATGAAGAAGAGGGGACACATGTTGATGTAGAAGAGACATGAAGAAGAGGGGACACATGTTGATGAAGAAGAGACATGAAGAAGAGGGACACATGTTGATGTAGAAGAGACATGAAGAAGATGGGACACATGTTGATGTAGAAGAGACATGAGAAGAGGGGACACATGTTGATGTAGAAGAGACATGAAGAAGAGGGACACATGTTGATGTAGAAGAGACATGAAGAAGAGGGCACATGTTGATGTAGAAAGACATGAAGAAGAGGGACACATGTTGATGTAGAAGAGACATGAAAGAGGGGACACATGTTGATGTAGAGAGACATGAGAAGAGGGACACATGTTGATGTAGAAGACATGAGAAGAGGGGACACATGTTGATGTAAAGAGACATGAAGAAGAGGGCACATGTTGATGTAGAAGAGACATGAAGAAGAGGGGACACATGTTGATGTAGAAGAGACATGAAGAAGGGGGACACATGTTGATGTAGAAGAGACATGAAGAAGAGGGGACACATGTTGATGTAGAAGAGACATGAGAAGAGGGGACACATGTTGATGTAGAAGAGACATGAAGAAGAGGGGACACATGTTGATGTAGAAGAGACATGAAGAAGAGGGGACACATGTTGATGTAGAAGAGACATGAAGAAGAGGGGACACATGTTTGATGTAGAAGAGACATGAAGAGAGGGGACACATGTTGATGTAGAAGAGACATGAAGAAGAGTGGACACATGTTGATGTAGAAGACATGAAGAAGAGGGGCACATGTTGATGTAGAAGAGACATGAAGAAGAGGGGACACATGTTGATGTAGAGAGACTGAGGAAGAGTGGACACATGTTGATGTAGAAGAGACATGAGAAGAGGGGACACATGTTGATGTAGAGAGACGTGAAGAAGAGGGGACACATGTTGATGTAGAAGAGACATGAAAAGAGGGGACACATGTTGATGTAGGAGACTGAGAAGAGGGACACATGTTGATGTAGGAACATGAAGAAGAGGGGACACATGTTGATGTAGAGAGACATGAGAAGAGTGGACACATGTTGATGTAGAGAGACATGAAGAAGAGGACACATGTTGATGTAGAAGAGACATGGAGAAGAGTGACACATGTTGATGTAGAAGATATATGAAGAAGAGGGGACACATGTTGATATAGAAGAGACATGAAGAAGAGGGGACACATGTTGATGTAGAGAGACTGAAGAAGAGGGACACATGTTGATGTAGAAGAGACATGAAGAAGAGGGGACACATGTTGATGTAGAAGAGACGTGAGAAGAGGGGACACATGTTGATGTAGAGAGACATGAAAAGAGGGGACACATGTTGATGTAGAAGAGACATGGAAAGAGGGACACATGTTGATGTAGAAGAGACATGAAGAAGAGGGACACTGTTGATGTAGAAGAGACATGAAGAAGAGGGACACATGTTGATGTAGAAGAGACATGAAGAAAGGGGACACATGTTGATGTAGAAGAGACATGAAGAAGAGGGGACACATGTTGATGTAGAAGAGACATGAAGAAGAGGGGACACATGTTGATGTAGAAGAGACATGAAGAAGAGGGGACACATGTTGATGTAGAAGAGACATGAAGAAGAGGGACACATGTGATGTAGAAGAGACATGAAGAAGGGGACACATGTTGATGTAGAAGAGACATGAGAAGAGGGGACACATGTTGATGTAGAAGAGACATGGAGAAGAGGGGACACATGTTGATGTAGAAGAGACATGAAGAAGAGGGGACACATGTTGATGAGAAGAGACATGAAGAAGAGGGGACACATGTTGATAGAGAGACATGAGAAGAGGGGACACATGTTGATGTAGAAGAGACATGAAGAAGAGGGGACACTGTTGATGTAGAAGAGACATGAAGAAGAGGGGACACATGTTGATGTAGAAGAGACATGAAGAAGAGGGGACACATGTTGATGTAGAAGAGACATGAAGAAGAGGGGACACATGTTGATGTAGAAGAGACGAAGAAGAGGGGACACATGTTGATGTAGAAGAGACATGAAGAAGAGGGGACACATATTGATGTAGAAGAGACATGAGAAGAGGGGACACATATTGATGTAGAAGAGACATGGAGAAAGAGGGACACATGTTGATGTAGAAGACATGAAGAAGAGGGGACACATGTTGATGTAGAAGAGACATGAAGAAGAGGGGACCATTTGATGTAGAAGAGACATGAAGAAGAGGGGACACATGTTGATGTAGAATAGACATGAAGAAGAGTGGACACATGTTGATGTAGGAGAGACATGAAGAAGAGGGACACATGTTGATGTAGAGAGACATGAAGAAGAGGGGACACATGTTGATGTAGAAGAGACATGAGAAGAGGGGACACATGTTGATGTAGAAGAGACATGAAGAAGAGGGGACACATGTTGATGTAGAAGAGACATGAGAAGAGGGGACACATGTTGATGTAGAAGAGACATGAAGAAAGGGGGACACATGTTGATGTAGAAGAGACATGAAGAAGAGGGGACACATGTTGATGTAGAAGAGACATGAAGAAGAGGGGACACATGTTGATGTAGAAGAGACATGAAGAAGAGGGGACACATATTGATGTGAAGAGACATGAAAGAGGGGACACATGTTGATGTAGAAGAGACATGAGAAGAGGGGACACATGTTGATGTAGAGAGACATGAAGAAGAGGGACACATGTTGATGTAGAAGAGACATGAAGAAGAGGGGACACATGTTGATGTAGAAGGACATGAAGAAGAGGGGACACATGTTGATGTAGAAGAGACATGAGGAAGAGGGACACATGTTGATGTAGAAGAGACATGAAGAAGAGGGGACACATATTGATGTAGAAGAGACATGAGAAGAGGGACACATGTTGATGTAGAAGAGACATGAGGAAGAGGGGACACATATTAATGTAGAAGAGACATGGAGAAGAGGGGACACATGTTGATGTAGAAGAGACATGAAGAGGGGACACATGTTGATGTAGAAGAGACATGAAGAAGAGGGGACACATGTTGATGTAGAGAGAGTGAAGAAGAGGGACACATGTTGATGTAGAAGAGACATGAAGAAGAGGGGACACATGTTGATGTAGAAGAGACATGAGGAAGAGGGGACACTATTGATGTAGAAGAGACATGGAGAAGAGGGGACACATGTTGATGTAGAAGAGACATGAAGAAGAGGGGACACATGTTGATGTAAAGAGACATGAGGAAGAGGGGACACATATTGATGTAGAAGAGACATGGAGAAGAGGGGACACATGTTGATGTAGAAGAGACATGAGAAGAGGGGACACATGTTGATGTAGAAGAACATGAAGAAGAGGGGACACATGTTGATGTAGAAGAGACATGAAGAAGGGCACATGTTGATGTAGAAGAGACATGAGAGAGGGGACACATGTTGATGTAGAAGAGACATGAAAGAGGGGACACATGTTGATGTAGAAGAGACATGAGAAGAGGGGACACATGTGATGTAGAAGAGACATGAGAAGAGGGGACACATGTTGATGTAGAAGAGACATAGAAGAGGGGACACATGTTGATGTAGAAGAGACATGAAGAAGAGGGGACACATGTGATGTAGAAGAGACATGAAGAAGAGGGGACACATGTTGATGTAGAAGAGACATGAGAAGAGGGGACACATGTTGATGTAGAAGAGACATGGAGAAGAGGGGACACATGTTGATGTAGAAGAGACATGAAGAAGAGGGACACATGTTGATGAAGAAGAGACATGAAGAAGAGGGGACATGTTGATGTAGAGGAGACATGAAGAAGAGGGGACACATGTTGATGTAGAAGAGACATGAAGAAGAGGGGACACATGTTGATGTAGAAGAGACATGAAGAAGAGGGGGACACATGTTGATGTAGAAGAGACATGAGGAAGAGGGACACATATTGATGTAGAAGAGACATGAAGAAGAGGGGACACATGTTGATGTAGAAGAGACTGAAGAAGAGGGACACATGTTGATGTAGAGAGACATGGAAGAGGGGACACCTATTGATGTAAGAGACAATAGAAGAG